GGGCAAATGTGTCTTGAAAATAGACTGGGAATCAGCCTGACCCCCCTCCCCCCCACAGCCACTTTTGGGAATTTGGCGGCCCAATTGCAGGAAGCTTATGGGCATGTGGGGGGGGGGGTGGACCCCCTCCTGCGGTATGCGCCGGGTATGTATGACCATGAAAGAAAGCGGGATGTGGACGGGGGGGGGGGTAACCCGTACAGTATCCCTTACACCCCAACCAACCGACCCGACCCAAACCTATATGGTCAGTCCTCGGCCAATTTTCCAGTTTTCCGATTTTCCGATCTACACTTTGGTGCACTTTTCTCTGCACATGGGTGGTTGTTCCGAAATCCGAAAGTACCGGCAAACGCCCTGTCTCCAGGGGCAGGTCCCTACTATGTGTGGAAATCGATTTTTTTGTTCTGGTTCGTTTTTTATATTTACATAACCGGATATTTTTGTTCGCTTTTTCCTGGGTGTATATACCTCAGAACACAATTCTGAGACCGGATTTGGACAGCTCTTGGAATTCCCCAAGTCGAACTTTTGTCCGATTCTGATTTGAGTTAAAAATAATAAAGTTTTCGGCGAAAAACTGTATTTCGGAGGCTGATTTGTTCGCTTTTGCTGTGATAACCAACCATACGATTTACAAAAGACCACGTCAATCGATTCCTCTCGACATTCCCCAGGGAGGAGTATATTTTTTCTGAATTTCAATTACAAATCTAGTTCGCGAGATATTCCGTTTTTTGTATTAAACCCTGATTTTCTCCCAGTCTCAACACGGAGGGGTAGCTCAGAATTCGCTTGATATTAGTGTTGGGCTGTCAAAAAAAAACGTTTATAGACTATGTTTCTCGCCCTGGTTATTATGGGGATCACCAAGATGGCTTGTATTCCTCCTGAATCGACTTCTTTCAAAAGATATCGCGAAAAATCAAAATGGACAAATTGTCCCAGACTGACTATAGATAGATAGCATCGATTGGGAAAGTGCTAGCTAGGTCACTGTACCACAAGCCAGGCTAGGCCGCGGCAAGCCGCGGCGCTACCTAGGTTGCTGTGCGCAGCGCTATGTTGTTGTGCACCGTCAGCGCTAGGTTGCTGTAGCGAGTTCTATAGGTTGCTGCTGTACCGTTTAGGCTAAGCCACGGCGCGAGAGTGTGGTGAGGGCTCGGTTGTAGGGCTATTGCTCCAGGCCTAGGTTGCTGTGCACCGTTAGAGCTAGTTCTATTTGTGTTGTTTTGTTTTTGTTTTTGCCTTCACTTCAAATCATCAGCGCTCACAGCACTAGTTATATAGTGTCGTTTTACTCCAACCCGTGGTCACACAGAAGAGCCCCTCTCAAGTCTACACTCCCCTCCTGCGGTACTTTCCCTTCGTTTTTTAATGCAAGAGTTAATCAGCACTCTTCTCTTCCCTCTGTGTACACACGAACTAGCGCTATCCACAAGGCCAGGAGGAGGAGCGGGAGCGAGAGAAAAACTCACTTTGCTCATAGGCTAGGGGCATTATTAACGAACACAAAATCACGGAACATCACGGAAGCGTGTTTTCTTGAACATACATCCAGTAGCCGGGATTTTTGGGGTTTTGGGGGCTTGCCACTTTCACTGATCCGTGTTTTTGACAGATTCTGAGAAGCATAGGAGGACAAGCGCACCGCGGGCGCTGTAACATTACTGAGAACGCTAGAAAGTCCTGCCAGACTCACGTCCAGGTCGGTCTGTTGTGGAGATGGACAAGCGGCAGAAGAAGCAGCATTCAGTCCGTTCTTGGTCCAAAACCGGACATTGCGTGGTGCTCTTGTCGTCTTCAACTGCTGCTGCTGTTTGTTACTACTCTGTATACATATAGACTACATAGTCTATATTTGGTGCCAAACACTTGCGTGTGTTTTGTTCGGGATACCCGCGGCCGCATGAAGCATCCCCTCTCCTCGACCATGTTGCATACAAGAGTTGTTCCTATTGTATAGTGACGCCCTGCCTGATCGTCGTCATTTTACGATGGCCATAAATACGGTAGCTATTCGGTTCGGTTGTACAGCAGTACACCTCGTTCAGCACCAAGGCTTCAAAATCGAAAATCGAACAGCATTTTGTACTTGAATATTTCTACATGAATTTCTACATGATACTTCTCCCACAGATGACCCTGGGTCCACTTGCTTGACGCCTTTTCTACAACGACAGTCGCTGCTCACTGGGGCGCCACTCCTTTCGCCCCCCTCCCCCCCCTACTCACACCGCTGCATTTTCTTTTGGTGCTCTTGGCGTAAAAAAGGTGCACCCCAACGCGCAACGCACAGCGTACAACAAAGACACGGCCCACGTCAGCCCCCCCCCCCCCCCCCCCCCCCCCCCCCCCCCCCCCCCCCCCCCCCCCCCCCCCCCCCCCCCCCCCNGAGCAGCACCGCAAGTCGGTACGACAACGACAACAGATCGGCATATATCCTCTTGAAGCAGTTCAAGTGCCTCGTCGTCTGCAGGCGTAATTCGGAAAATCGGCCAGCGATCGTCGTAGAACCTACGATAAACTGTCAAATCCCGTGTACACCTGCAGTCGAGAAAGGGGGCAAACTACCCACACGCGCGAGCACAAAGCCCATCCCCGTTTCTGCCGCAATCTGCTTTGGGGGCTCGAATGATGGGAAACAAATCCGGGGGGGGGGGGNCTGCCATAAGCCCACACCATAGCATTAACGACGAGTCTCCTTGTTCACGCGAAGGGACCGGCAGATCGTTCGTTCGGACCGGTGTTTTTCGCCGTTGTCGTTTTGTCAGCGGCAAGACTTGCCGAAGCCCGCGTAGATGCCGTGGGTGTAGTCGATACCCCCGAAGCGAGAATTCCTGGAAAACGAGTTTCGTGGGGGAAGGATATTGGGGGCTTGCGCAATGAGGGAGGGCTTGGGCAGGGCCGCAGGGCGGGTTCCTGCTGTTGTATGGGTTGGGAGTAGGGCTGAGCTCTTAGGGCTACAGGTTGAGTTAGGTTTCCGTCTGGATTATTTAGTCCGAAACGAAAAGCAAGCCGACTGAAAGGGGGGTTCACAGGACACAACCCAGCGAGGGAGGGAACAACATGCACCTGGGTCCGGGGCCGGAGTTGTGTTTCGGGGGGGTGCACTCATGAAAACGCATGCCGTACGTTAGACCATTGACCTCAACGTTAGGCCATTGACCTCGCATCCCTATATGCCCGGACGGAGCGATATGCCGGGCTTTCGCCGGACCAGGCCCTCACATCACCAAGCACGAAGCGCCGATAGGTATTCAGCGAGTCGCATGGAGGGCGCGCTGCATCCTGCCAAGGGTGTGCAGCATCTTACGCTTACTTCCTAGCATACGGATGGCAGCTGCGAAGGTCTTAAGGTGCTTACAATTCCAGAGCCAGTCACAAGCACGTTTAACTTCCTCGAGGGTGCTGGACTAGTTAAAACAACATAGTGCCATCATCCCACTTTTGCGCGGAGTGAATATCTCGACCACACACAAAATTATCTCCTCGACCACGATAAATAGTTACCGCAAAACAAAAGAAAGGGAAACTTAAGGTGGAAACCTGGTTGGGGAGCTCACGAAGCGATCGGCGTGCTTTACAACGTCGTTGCAAAGCGACAAAAGTCCAATCCGGATGACTCTCGTGGGGGAGGGGTATTGTAGGGCCTACAAAGTTGCAAGCTAGTCGCGGCGACGTTGGAATGGGGAAGTAAACACAGGTCGCAAACCGGCGAAGAGGGCGATTCTTTGGGCGAGCTCTGACTTCCACAGGCTGTGGCCTCAACCAAATATGATTGGCATTTTTATTTTCTGCAGTTGCATCTCGGTTCTCGTCCTTTTCTTCCCCCTGGGAGTGCGAACGGCAGCTGCATGATATACAATTGACATCGTTCCTAACCTACGTTGACATGTGCTTGGGTGTGGGGGGGTGTTTGCGGGGTCTTGGCTTCTAAAGATGAACCCTTCGTGCAACCGCACGGGCTACTTGCTCTGAGGTTTCCAACCAAAAAAACAAACAACGTTGCCTGACATACCGCTACCTCAGAACGCCTGTTGAGAGAAAGGCTAGGTACACAGCTCGTCCGAGGGGGGGTGGAGCAACCTTGCGTAGACATAAAGTTGAAGCGAACACAAATGCAGCACGGCAGGGTCTTCACGAGCAGGAAATCGTTGGAGTTTCTCACCTCTCCCTCATGTTGCGCTGCTGCAGGTCGAGCTGCTGCTCCCGAAGCTCTCGGAGCCTTTCCTCTTCAAGTTCTTTGACCTGCACAAGGGAGTGTATGGGGACATTTCGTACCCCCCGTAGGTGGAGAATGAGGGCGGGG